TGCACTCCAGTCTGGGCGACAGAGTGAGACTCCAACTCAAAAAAAAAAAAAATCAGCGGGATGTGGTGGTGCATGCCTGTAGTTCCAGCTACTTGGAAAGCTGAGGCAGAAGGATCACCTGAGACCAGCAGGTCAAGGCTACGGTGGGTGTGAGTGGACCACTGCCTCCAGCCTGGACGACAAAGACTCCAACTCAAACAAACAAACAAAAGAAACATACAATGTTGGACCCACCCCTGAGATTTGGACACCTGAAATAGAGTCTAAGAGGTTGTATTTCTCACAAGTTCCAGGCAATGCTGATTCTGCTGGTCCAGGGCCCACACTTTGAGAACCACTGGCTTAATATACAGTTGGCCCTCTGTATCAATGAGCCCCACCCCCATGGACACAACGAACCGTGGATCAAAAATATTTGGGGAAAAAAAAGAATGATTACATCAGTATTGAACACGTACAGACTTTTTTCTAGTCATTGCTTTCTAAGCAATACTGTAAATAACAACTATTTATGTAGCATTGACACTGTATTAGGTATTGTAAGTAATTTAAGGATGATTTTTTTTTAAGTCAATGTCTTACTCTGTTGCCCAGCCTGGAGTGCAGTGGCACACGCACAGCCACCACAGCCTTGACCTGCTGGGCTCAGGCGATCCTTCTGCCTCAGCCTTCCAAGTAGCCGGAACTATAGGCATGCACTACCACACCTGGCTAATTTTTTCATTTATTGTAGAGCTAAGGTGTCACCAAGTTGCCCAGGCTGGTCTTAAACCCCTGGGCTCAGGCAGTCCTCTTGCCTCGGCCTCCCAAAGTGCTGGGATTACAGGCTTGAGCCTCTGTGCCCAGCCTTAAGGATGATTTAAAGTACATGGGGGGATGTGCATGCTATATGACACCATTTTATCTGAGGGACTTCAGCATCCATGGAAAGCTGGAGCCATGCCACCCTGGACACCAGGACAACTGTGTATATACTTGGTTTCTCTATGAGCTTTAATGTGGGCAGAGAAGAGAGGGCTGTTACTTTAAAAGGAGGCAAAGGATAGTGGCTTATGCCGGTCATCCCAGCACTTTGGGAGGCAGAGGTGAGAGGATTGCCTGAGCTCAGAGTTTCAAGACCATCCTGGGCAACTTTATTGTAGAGACCTCATCAAAAAATTAGCCGGGTGTGGTGGTGCACACCTGTAGTTCCAGCTACTTGGAAGACTGAGGTGGAAGAATCACCTGAGTCCAACAGTTTGAGGCTACAGTAGCCATGAGCGTGCCACTGCACTCCAGCCTGAGCAACAGACTCCAACTCAAAAAAAAAAAAAAAGAGTCAGGCTCAGTGGTTCAGCCTGTAATCCCAGTACTTTGGGAGGCTGAGGTGAGTAGATTGCCTGAGTCCGCGGGTTCGAGACCTGCCTGGGCAACTTGGCGAGACCTCATCTATACAATAAATCAAAAATTAGCCAGGCGTGGTAGCATGCGCCTGTAGTTCCAGCTACTTGGAAGGCTGAGGCTGAAGGATCGCCAAAGTCCAGCAGGTCAAGGCTGTGGTGGCCAGTAGCATGCGACTGCACTCCAATGTGGGCAACAGAGTGAGACTCCAACTCAAAAAAAAAAAAGAAAAGAAAACACCACCCTTCAATGTTCCACGAACACCCTGAATGAAACGCACAATGTTTATGTTCACATGTATCTCTGGAGGGCGGACAAAATCCCAGAACCACGTTGTCGTATTTCATAGCCACTGGCCACATGTGCTATTTCACTTTCATTAAATGTGGATAAAATTGAATTTCAGTCCCTCAGTCACCCTTGCCACACTGAGTGCCACGTGGCCACACAGAACATTTCTATCATCACAGGAAGCTCTGCAGGACAGCAGGAATCTAGGGATTTCATCAGTTTTTCAAAGGCGTCTGTGACCAGAAAGTGTTAAGAGCTGCTAAGTAAAACCAGTGAAACTTTATTTCAAGAGCCAGAACCCTCCCCTGGAGAGTTGAAAGCTCGTCACTCTGACAAGCTGTGAACAAGTCTGCCTTTGAAAAATCTTTTTGTTCCAAAAATCCAGCTCTGAAACCCTTGGAAGATATCCAGATAGTATGCGTTATTGTTCATTTCCCCCACCCCTGCCACCTTTTCGGAGAGACACTTTAATTCTAAAATATTTGCTATAAGAAAATTTCTCTGAGCTCCAGAGCCTCTGCCCAACACAAGTCATGGCGGGAAGTGACCTTGATGTCTGACCTTGTCTCCTTCTGTGTATGGTTGCTCCAGGTGGGCGAGGCCGTCTTGGAAAATGCTCGGCTCATGCTGCAGACGGAGACTATCCAGGCGGGTGCGGACGACTTTAGAGAGAGGTAACGCTCTGTGGAGAGGGGACAGTCTCTCCACACCCCGGGCTCAAGGGCTATGTGGGTGATGCCGTCCTGGAGTCTGTCTCGTTCTCCTCCAACCTCCTGGAGGCCAGGTGGGATCACAGAAGCCCCAGGAGGATCCAGAGCCATGGATATCGGCTCCAACCCTGCCCTGTAGACAGAGACCAGGACCCAAGGGCTCACAGATTTTGCCCCGTGTCATCTGGTTTAGAGCAGGAGTCTAGGCCAGGCTTGGTGACTCAGCCTGTCATCCCAGCACTTTGGGAGGCCAAGGCGAGTGGATTGCCTGAGCCCGTGGGTTCGAGACCCGCCTGGGCAACTTGGCGAGACATCTCTACCATAAATCAAAAATTAGCTGGGCGTGGTAGCACGCGCCTGTAGTTCTGACTCCTTGGAAGGCTGAGGCGGAAGGATCACCGGAGCCCAGCAGGTCAAGGCTGCGGTGGCCAGCAGCGTGCCACTGCACTCCAGTCTGGGTGACAGAGTGAGACTCCAACTCAGAAAAAAAAAGCAGAGCAGGAGTCTAAAACTCTAGCGCTTGCTGGAATCAGGAGGCTTATAGATTGCTGTACCCCACCCTAGAGTTTTTGATTCAGTAGGTCTGGAGCGAAGGCCCCAAATTTACATTTTTTCTTTCTTTTTTTAAAAATATTTTTTATTTTAAAGATATGGGGTGCAGATCTTTATGAGGTATACGAGTGGACACCATACAGGTGAAGTTTGGGCCTCCCTTTGGTCCCCACTTTGCCTGGTTTGAGATCAGGGACCCATATTGATGTTATATGCCCACCCCACTACCCTGGCAGAATCCCACTACTGCCAATCCCTTTCTTATAGTATTATGATAAATGATCAGAGTCCACTTATGAGTGAGAACATGTGGTACTCAGTTCTTTGCTTCTGTGATAGATCACTGAGTATGATAGACTCTAAATCTATCCAAGTTGCTGCGAAGTCCATACGTTTGTCCTTCTTTATGGCTGCATAATATTCCATTGTATATATGTACCACATTTTTTTAGATTAGAAAACATAGTTTATTTAGAAAGTAAATTAGAGAGAGAGAGAAAGAGGAGATCCACCTCCCCAAGGTAGGGGAGGGGCCAAAGCTTAAGAAAACATGGCTTGGCCATAGCTCAAAGAGCACTTGACCAAACCATAGCTCAGCAAGGCAATGGCCTGTACCACATTTTAAAAATGCAGTCCGGTTTCAAATGGCAACCTGGTTGGTTCCATTTTTTTTTTCAAATGTACACTTCTAACACATTCTGAGGAATACTGACCGCTGGTCCTGGGGCTCTTCTTTGAAAACTACTCCTTTAGAGCAGTGGTTCTCAATTCTGGCTGCATATTAGAATTACCTTCCTGGGCCTGGTAGCTCACGCCTATAATCCCAGCACTTTGGGAGGCCGAGGTGAGAGGATTGCCTGAGCCCACTGGGTCAAGACCAACCTGGGCAACTTGGTGAGACCTCATCTCTACAAGAAGTCAAAAAATTAGCCAGGCATAGTGGTGCAGTTCTGTAGTTCCAGCTACTTGGAAGGCTGAGGTGGAAGGATCGCCTGAGCCTAGCAGGTTGAGGCTGCAGTGGCCGGGAGCATGCCACTGCCCTCCAACCTGGGTGACAGAGTGAGACTCCTACTAAAAAAAAAGAAAAAAAAAAGAATTGCTTGTTCTCTCACAAATGCTACTGCACAAGAAGTCCTACAGACTAATTAGATTGGAAGACCTGGGGGTGGAAGGTGGACAGGTCCCAAGTGTCAGCAGCCTTCAAGCTTACCAGGTGACTGAGTCCAGGCTTGAGAACCATGCTTAAAAGTTCCTCCTCTCCATTTCCCACTCTGAGGGCACTGGGGTTTTCCACCACTGTCCTGGAATCTCACACGGGCTCACTGGAACTAGAAACCATATTCCTCATTTTGGGATACCCAGCGTCTCAGCAACGTTTGTCCAAGTGTCCTCGGATGAGAGGGAGAATAATTCAGGGTAGCAATGAATATGCTGGGCCCCTTACCTGGATCTGAACTTCTGGAGACACATTCTGTGCTCCAAATGCCCACAAGGCTGGCACACCGCGAAGCCCAGCTATCAGAAGCTGGCAGTAATCACTCTCATATTCATAAATCAATGCATGATGGTTAACTAACAGTGCCCTTAAAGCTACTGGAACAGTGACTTTTCACTAATCATGTCTAACTATCCCATAATTGGCCTATGGGCAACATTTATAATCTGATTTTTTTTTCATTTGGGCTACCCCATTATGCTGATTAAATTCCTTTATCTGCAGATATGAAAACGAGCTGCCCTTTCGAAAGGCGGCGGAAGAGGAAATCAACTCTCTGTATAAAGTCATCGATGAAGCTAATTTGACAAAAATGGATCTGGAGAGTCAGATAGAAAGCCTGAAAGAAGAACTCGACTCACTGTCAAGGAACTATGAAGAGGTAGGTGGGGGCCGGGCCACTGGCTGGGCCACAAGCCCAGAGGCACCTCCGTCAGGCTGTGCTTCATGGCCACGGTCGCTCACCGCAACCCCTCTGCAGTGTTAGCCCAGGGCTGCAGGGAAAGACCTGCAAGGTTCTTCCAAATCCAAGCAGCGGTCGGGTACTTCAGGGGTCTCAAATCCAATAGCAACAGGGACCAGCCCAGCACAGAAATGGGGGTGGGGGGTGGCGCGGGTACAGCCGGTCTAAGCACTAGCGAGTGAGGTCATCTGTGTTGCGCTAGAGGGAGCATCCATACTCCCAAAGCATCGCTGAGTGACAGGATTGACGGGGGACCCCCAATGGTTATGGGGTCCAGTTCCCTGTCAGACTGCAGGCATTCTAGAACTCCTCATCGTATCACTGTCTGATCCAGGATCCAAGCTGCTTCCAGCTGAAAGAGTGAAAACTCATTTACCAATGATCACATGAGGAAGTCCTTCCTCCGATCCCTCCTGGAGCTAACCAACAACCATAAGCCCAATTCTTCGTGTTCTTAGCTCAGTAATTTAAGACTGTGCTCCAGCAGTAGTAATCCTTTAGAGACTCCAAAGTTATTTTTTCGTTTTCTTTTTTTTTTTTTTTT